TTTTTTTGCTGGTTCGCCATCTCATCCTCTCTGCTTTCTTGTTTTTCTTTTTATTCCCCCCCCCTTCTCTTTTCTCTCTCCCAGGCCACAGGGCTCAGAAGATAAAGCTTTCTCGTTAACAGTTCACTGGTTATGCCTACATAGTAAAAAATGTGTAGCTTGATTAATGCCTTCCAGATGGTTAATTGAAAAAAAGAAGGGGGGGGGGGAATGCACCAATCTCTCCCCCCCTCTTTAGCACTCTGCACACATACATTGCACAGGAAGAAAACTGCATTAAAGGGTGAGGGGAGCAATATATTTGAGAAATAGGGACAGCCTGTTAACTCCAGGGCGGCGTTGCCAGGCTGGTGACTTAGCTGTCGCTTTGCTCTGTCCCTGCTTCATCTCATCTATCCCACCCCAAAATTCTCCACCCCAGAGAGTGATGCTCCTTCACGTACAACGTGTAACACACACAAACCCTTCTCACACCCTCATGTGAACCCCGCTGAGGGCACTGCGCCGCTTTGCCCCCACCTCCTGCTCTGACACCCCCAGAGCATCACTGACCCTCATTCTCTCCCCATATTTATTTTTCAGGGGGATGCATACACACAACCGTGTGTCTTTTATGAATCTTGATCACGCAGTTCATCCCTGGGTTGGGGAAAAGCAGCTCTGTTATCAGAGCCGTGCCCCCAGGAGCAGAAAGGCTCCATCAGTGGGGTCTGGGTGCTTGGGTTTGGTGGTGCCAAAGTGGGGGAGATGGAGGGGACGTGAGTGGGGGGCTGCAAGTAGGGTCATTGGGGCAATTCAGAAGGAAAGAGGGGTGATAATTGGGCAGCTATTCTTCTCCATACACCATTGCTGGGCAATTTAATCAATGCATCTTCTGTTATACAGACGTGTGTCGGTTGTGTCCCTCATAGAAACGGACGTGCCTCTCCTCTTCTCCCCCTGCCCGTAGCTCTGCCTACTCCCGGTTTCTTTGTCTCTCTCAAGGGAGAGACAGAGGAGGAACACAAATCCCTCCCTACCCCGTTAATAGAGATACTGCCTTGCTGACGTGAGTCACGAAGGGTTTAAGCCGTGCAGTTGAGGGTGAGCCGCATCCAGCCCCCCGCCCCGCACACCTCCCACCACGGATCTCCCTGGTTTCCAGGGAAACAGCGGCCCCAAAAGCTGCCTGACTTTCACGTCTGCCTTTCATTTCTCCTTTTTTTTTTTTTTTTTGGGTAAGAAAAACCATACAACTGATTTATGGTTTTTTCTCCTCCCTTCCCTTCTCAGGATCACCACCACGGCCGCATGCATGATGGACCTGCGGAGATACCCCCTGGACCAGCAGAACTGCACGCTGGAGATCGAGAGCTGTGCGTATGCCTCATGCCCACCCTTCTCCACGCGGTGCCACCTGATGCCACCTGCCCCAGCCACAACTCCCTGCTCGTGGGATACCTCCCAAGGGTGTTACAAGCCACCCTTCCCAAAGGATGTCCCCTGGGGCAGGACCAGGCTTCCTCATCCAAACTCTATCCTGAGGGGACCTCGTGGGTGAAATCCCCAGGAATAGAGGTCTAGCAGCAGGCTGGGTATTAAAATCACTCTCACCCTCAGGAGGGTGATGGGAGCCTCCCTTAGCCCTGGGAGCCTGCCCTCACTCTGCATGTAAGGTGGGACCCCAGTTCTCCTGCAGTCCCTCCCCACCTGGATCTTCCCTTGACTCCTATGGGAAGCCTCTCCTGACCGTGCTGGCGGAGGAGGTCCGGCTCTCCCTCATAAAAATGCACTGCAGTATCCCCGCAGGAACGGTCCAGAGCAGCAGATCTCACAGTAATGATGATGCAGCTTCAGTGGTGATTATCAGAGAATTGCTTTTTTCATAAAAGAGGTCCCACAGCATCCATAGTTGGAAGGCGCCGTGCTGCCTCCCCAGCCCTGCCTGCGCCTGGGAGCCCCCTTCCCGCTCGCCATCGGGATGCGCAGCCATCGCAGCGCTCGGCGTGGCGAGTAATGGGATGTAAATTAGGTCCTGCTGGAGGCACTAATGACATGTCATTTCTGGCACTCCTTAGCATTCTGAGACTAGTTTACGGTACAACCAAGAAAACAGAAGGCAGAGAATTACCCACCGTTCCCCATGTTGTGATTTTGTCCTTAATGGGACAAGTCAAGCCAATTTGTTAGTCGAAGCTACGTTTCCTTACAATGTTTCTGAGATCCACGCAGAGATGAAGAGATTCAACTGTTTCCTTGCTCAGAGCTTTTGTCTTTTACATACTTGCACATTCGAAATCCGCAGGGCTCCATTTTGTTTACTTCCAAGTCCACACACAACTCTGGAGTAACAGTCATTTTTATGCCTGGCTTGGAAAACAAATTATATATAAAAAGATTACCAAAGCAAACCCACCAAAATAGCTCTTTTGTGGTGCAGGGTTTGTAAAGCAGCAGCAGGCAGCTGAATCTCCTTCCCCACAGCAGCTCAGGGCATTTACCTGCAGGAGATGACCCAGTGCTGGAACTGCCTGTTGATCCCATCGCTCCATCCCGAAAACAGCCCTCACCACACATCCCCTTGCCTAAATATGTGCCAGGATTCAACAAAAACCCTGAGACAGGCAGCAAACAGGCTGTTAATCTGACGTTTTAAGACGTCGTATCAATACTTTATGATATTTCAGGTTGAAATGACTTGTCTTCGTGAAAGTTCTTTTACTTTTTAAAAGTAAAATGGAAATTTGGTTTTCTTTTTAAAGCTAGAAATCAAAGTGAAGCATTTATTTTTAGGCTGAACAACCTTTTCCCTTCAGAATCACTTTAAAAAATGGCTTCCTGAAAACGATGTTTGATTTCATATTGCATAATGCCATAATAATAATAAAAAAAAAATACAAAAATTGGTACCCGATACCAGCAGGTCACAGAATAAATGGAACAGAGCTGGTTAACTACGAAATTTCCTAAAATTAGTTACAGTAATTTGACATTTTCATTGCTGATCAGGAAGTAAATTTGAAGTCACTGCTGTTAAATTTGTGGATGATGAAGATAGCAGTCTGCGTGGCTCGCTCGCTGCACATTTGAATACCTCCCAATTTGAATCCATCCCGAATGCATTTGAATACAGCTAAACGGGGAGGGCTGTGCCTGGGTGCGGGAGCACAGGCCAGGCTGCCAGCCCGAGGGACTGGTACCCACACGGGTATCGACCGGGGGAAAGGATGAAGGGCTGGCAGCCCCAAGCATCGCTGCTGGAGGTTTCTTAGCAGGGCTCTGGCAAAATAAGGGCTGGAGTGAGCCTTGGTTATATAAACCAGGGGAGCCGTGAGTCAGAGCAGGGAATCGATTGGCCTCTGAATATGTCGCTGGTGAGACGGGGAGAGGGACTCTGTCTATATTTGGTTTCCAAAATTTAGAAAGGAAGCTGAGAAATCAGAAGAGGTTGAGAAAAGATGCTGAAAAGTGGTTCAAGGGCTGGAGCAGATGTTTTGCAGTGAGAAACCTCAATAGCTCAATCTGGTTTGTTTACTGCAAAGGAGGTGGAGAGGTGACTTGTTTACAGGCTGGGTGCACCTCTGCAGAGGGGGAGCGCTGGGTGGAAAGGGCTTGGTAACCTCCTAGAAAAAAATCAGAGTAACCACTAGAATCTCGAAGCCTGAGCCGGATGAATTCAAATGTAAAATCGCACACAATGTTTTTTAGCTGCGAGAGCTTTTGAGCCGCTGGAATCTGCCACCGGGAGGAGTGGGGGACTTGGCTGTTTCTTGCTGCTCTCCACACTTGGACTCGGTGCTCTGGGAGAGACACTGCAGCCAGATGCAAATACCAGTTCCTCTGCACAAAGCTGGGGTACTCGAGGCAGTGCAACAGCCTCTGGCACCCCAGTGTCTGCAGCAGATGAGATGATCACATAAGGGTCCTGAATCTCTGTGGGCTTGTGGGTGAGGGTGCTCTACCACTTATTGCCAAGGGAGCAGGACCATGCCATGGGGGGAGGAGGTGGAGCCCTGGCTTAGCTGATTTATATCAGAAGCAGATCTGGCATAGCATGTGGAAGCTTGTTATTATTTTTTAGCACCCATGAATAAGCACAGTAATGACTGAGAGTGCAGGATGCGGGCTTGGAGACTACACAGTCATCAAATAATTCAGTTTGGGAAGAGACCTCAGGGTGTCTCTAGTCCAGCCCCCAGCTCAAAGCAGGGTTAGCTATGAGATCAGACCAGGTTGCTCAGCCCTTTTTCTGCTCAGGAGCTGCAAGAGGACAGCATCCTTGAAGGTTCACCTCGGATCTGGGGTAACCCTTGGGCCCTAAGGCTGGGTAGAAGAATTTTTCTTCCATGGTACGCTTGGCAGCTCTTCATTCCCCTGATCCCACTAATGCACTGGTGCTGGGTTTGGTGGCAGCTCTCCCTAGTGGATGTTAGCCCTTGCTGGGTATTGCCAGCCAACTGCTTCTCTGCTGGGAGAGCTTGTGGATAAGGCAGGCTGTTGTGCTGCAGAGCAGATTGTGAGTAAAAGCTGTCTGTGGTCATAGGTGGAGTTCATGCTCTAAAGGAAGCCTTGTGCCATGCCATACCAAAACCTGTACATATCTCACTGTTTCTTTGCACACAGAGGTGATTCCATGCAGCTCTGCACTTTGCTTGGGATAAGAGGCCACCCCTTGTGCAGCAACAGCCACAGTGCTTCAAAACCCAGCTTGCCACAAGCAGCATTAATTTCCAAGTGGAGATGAATCCTTGCCCACAGGGCTGTGAACATCATGTTGATGGGAGGGGACCTGCTTGATTTCATCCCCTGGGCCCCATTCCCCATGACTCCAGAGCATCTAGGGTGATTTTATCCTGGGCTTTGGGCTCCTTAGTTCCTCCAGCCCATACAGCCCTCTCTGGATGTATAGTTTGGGGTTAAAGTAAGAGTCTGTACCCTTGGCTGAGGTAATAAATCCATTACCCTGAAAGGCAGGGGATGAGTATTTCTTACCAGCCTGATTCCCCTTCTTGTCTTCTCCCATTACTGCTCTTTTCAGCCACCACAAAGCAGCAGAAACTCTGTCCACTTCCTGGCTCCAAATTTTGACTGAGAGTACTTAGGAGAGGGAGATGCTCTGATATTCAAATTTCTTTTCAACTGCTGTTGTAAATCTTTTCCTCTCTGGGAATTTTTAGTACTTAGATGCCCTGTTTACCTGTTCCCCACCAGAATGTATTGTGTGGTCTCCCCCTTCTGGTAAAAGGAGGCAGTTTTTAAAAAGCAAAATGCCGTGTTTGGTGCATTTGACAGAAGCTTCTGATGCACAAGTTGCTGTCATGTCAGCCATGGAGATTATGTAGCGCGAGTCAAGGTTTGATGGGCTGCTTCTCACCTTTTTCTGCTGAATTCTAAGCAGAATTGGGACTTCTGGACATTTTTTCCCCCTTCTCTTGAGTATTGTACTGCCAAGCTCAGCTGAAGAAAAGTACGTCAGCAGGAGGGGACTATGCTTGCTGTCTGACGGTGTGGGTTTTCCTTTAGATCCTCTTCCAGATCACCTTAATGAAAATGGGGGTGTCATCTGCTCCAGCTTGTCAGCTTAGTTCTCTCTCTGTGCTTCTTCATCTCTGCAGATGGTTACACGGTTGATGATATTGTCTTCTTCTGGCAAGGAAATGATTCTGCTGTCACGGGGATGGAGGTGCTAGAACTGCCCCAGTTCACCATTATTGAGCAGAGGCTGGTCAGCAGGGAAGTGGTCTTCACCACCGGTGAGTCTCTGCTGAAGGGATGCGGTGGAATCTGCAAACCTTCTGCTGATGAATGTCAATGTGGTTGTTCCTTTGATTCAAATGCTGAGACACTAACTTAGGATCTAGGCTTCAACTTAGGGTTCTGTTCTTTTGGAAAAGAAGCATCTTCTGTGCCCACCAAGTTTGCTTTTTTTTTTTTGTCTGCTTCACCTCAGAGACTTATTGGGATAATATTTTTTTTTTCTGCAGTTGTTTTCATTTATTAGTCAAAACACCAACTGAGCTCAAAACAGAACCTCTTTAGAAGATTCTCAACCTCTACCTGATTTTTATGTGCTTTGCAATGGGCTCTCAAAGATCATGTAGGTGCAAAATAAGTAGAAGAATGTATCAGTTGAAAAGAAAGTGGTCTATGAAATGATGCAAACCCATCTGTACATGGCAATAAAAAGATCTGGAGAGACTATCTTGGAAGATTCAGATATTGCCGGTTGGAAAATTGTAGGGGTTTGGATTTTGGTTTCTGTCTTCACTTTGATCTGGCATGAGGTTCGCTGCCAAAACAGCGTGCCACACACCTGTTAAATAAGACAATTTTTGAAATGCCATGAAATCACAGCCCGAGTCTATCAGTGGTGGTGGCAGATGGTGATGTTGTTACAATAGTGCCTCGGGGGCATGCTGGGAGCAGGGTCCCATAGCAATGGTAATCTAGAGACCCACAACAAGAGGCAGTATTCCTCCTAAAGAAGTTTGCAGTCTAAATAGATAAGACCTTCAGAAAAGCAGGCTGGTGAAATACTGTGTTCAAGCTATACAAATGGCACATAATGGTGAGAGAACATAACCTCCTTTCTCCCAGTACACCTCCTTGATCGTTAAAGACTGCTGTTCTCTTGTTACTTTAGCTGCCAACCCACGATTACACCCATATTTCAGGCTTCTGTGTTGCCTAAGGGACAGAGGTGGGAAGGAGGAATGACTTGGACTTTTGTTTCAGAGGAATGAGAGAGGCCTTGCTTTGTCCCTGTCAAAATGACCCTGCTCCAGTGGAAGGACTGTAAAATTCTAATTGTCATCACTATCCCCATTAGGTTTGCTAAAAGATTAGGAGGACGTTGCAACAACATGGAAAAAAAAAAAGAAAAAAACAATACCTATAGATTAACTAACAGTACTCTATTTGCATATGAATTTGCCCAGTCTGACCATAACCTATTTTTAGAACAGCATGGGAGAAATACTATTCAGATCTTCATTGCTGTTTGGAGGAAAAGCTAGCACATGAAACATTGGAAAATCATCTCACTGCATCCAGATATAGTGTTAAAGTCTCCTGTGTAAGCCTGTATCAAACTGGCACTTACCACAATAACAATTTTAGCACTGAACAGACATTCTCCCATGATGTCTGATATAATAACGTAACTTTACATATGTAGAGTTTCCTTTCTTCTTAATATACTGAGCCAACTGAGCAGACTCTGAAGAGCCTGCTTCCAAAAACTGATGAGTCTGCAAAACCAAATGAAATAAAAAAGAGAGATTTCTCATTATCCTTGCCTCTTGAGAACATCTTCCAAATAAAATTTCAATTCCTAACCTAAACTCTTACAATAAATACAGCTTTCCCCTCCTCTCAAGCAAGATCTTCCTACAATATCTCATTGACAGGTTCATATCTGCGTTTATCCTTGAGTTTCCGGATTAAGAGGAACATTGGATACTTCATCCTGCAGACTTATATGCCATCTATTCTCATCACCATCCTGTCCTGGGTCTCCTTCTGGATCAATTACGATGCTTCTGCTGCACGAGTGGCATTGGGTATGTACCTTTTCGTTATATGTTGAAGGAGGTGGTTTTTTGAGGGAGAACAGCTATAGGACAGCTGTAAGAAAGAAAATACCTTTTTCTTTATGAGGTAGCAGCTAAGCAAACCATGTAGGTCTGTCAAACCTGTCATCCCAGAGGAAGGACATTTTTTCTGAGAACAAACTTCAAATTTTCAGCCAGAAGAGCTACTTCTTTTTGTTCAGAAATATCAGTACTTCCAAAGCTTGGGTCTGTATTATTTGAATCAGTAAAAGTTCTACCATAAATTTCTGTGGTAGAACAGAAACTCTATAACAAAAGCATAAATGGTCACAGAACCTCAGGCATGTGAGACTGACAAGCCATGAGCCCACCAGTTCCTTCACTCTGGTTTGTACTTGTTTTCTTAAGAAGAGAAGTCTGGGCATCTCTTGGTCAACAGGTGTGCTAGAACCAGTTAACTAGATGATAAATGTTGAGGATGGGTGGACAAAAGAATAGTAAGAATGTTGAGTGAATGGCTAAAAGATGAAAAAAAATAAAGGAAGTGCCCTTACACATTTTTATGGTAGTTTAGGCCCCATATGGGCACTTCTTGTAGCTGAGGACCTTCATAACCAAGGCAAATGTGGGGCAGTAGTTAAAGTCCAAGTTCTTCTTAAGCACATGCTCCCCTATATAGGAGTGTTTTCCTGTAAGAGGAAAAAAATGAGCTCTTTTAAGCAACAGAAGGGAAGTGGAGGTGGATTGCAGATGAGGGTTTTGAAGAAGGAACAGGAGTAAGGGGGGGACGACTGGCATCTGAGAATGGGGCTGTGCAACATGATAGAAAGTTCAGAGGAAATCAGAGAGCCAAGGAGGGAGAAGGATTTCATTTGTGAGTGGGAAAAGTCTCAGAGAAGTGATGGAGCACAGGGGGAGGCTGGGTCTTATAGACAACCTTGAGGGCTTAAATTAGCTCTAGGACAAGACAGAGTTTGAGAAGATTCAGAGGAGGGATGGTTTGTACAAAGATATAAAATAGATGATTTGGCTGTGCTTGCTTAGAGATGCTGGAGCAGGGACACAGGGAGGGAACAAGAACATGGTAAATTAAAAGGTAAGTTGCATTGACAAGAGTATAATCAGTGAGAGAAGAAAAAGAGACCACAGCAGACATTGCTGGCACGGTGAAAGTACAAGCAGAAGGGTGGACACGAGATGCATAGCTGTTGGATTTCTGCTGACATCTGGATTCAAAGAAGACAGAAGAAAAACATTGTAGATCAGAACTGGAACAGCTCTCCCTAAACTGTTCCCGACAGCTCTCTATCTAACCTGTCCTTAAAAAGCTCCAAGGAAGGAGACTCCACAGCCTCCTCTGGGAACTTTATCTCCAGATTCACTTGCTTGTACAGTCAAAAGCTCTTCTTTGCTCTGTCCTAAGTGTCCATTGCAATTTGTCTGGTTCTGAACGGAGACATGGAGAATGTTCTGTTCCCCTTTTCTTTGCCCCAGATTTCTGGATATTTAGACTACTGTCTAAATATAGACAATATTTGTATGTATATAAATATATCCCCCTTCTGTTTACTCTTCTGTGAACTGAAAACTATCGGTTCTTTGAATCTTATATCAGGAATGACACTAAAGACAAGATGAGGGTGAGAGGCACTGCATCCAGAATGCACAGAGAGGTTTGAGAGCCATCACTCTAGGGGCAGGGCTGAAGACAGAAGAGCAAATTAAGGTCATGGAGACGAAGAGAGCTCCCAACAGAGAGATGAGGAGGAGGGACACTGGAAAAGAAAAGGAGATCAGCAAGGTAGTAAGAAAAGCAGCACAGCTGAGCTAGAGAAGCAGGAAAAGAAGACTAGGTTGAAGAGGAAAAGTTACTGCCCACAAAAGAAGCATGAAGGCTCATTGCCATCCTTTTTAAGCCGTCAGAAGACTGTCAAAGAGACAGATCTGAGGCCACTCGGACAGTCCAGAGAAGGGAAGAGGGTGAGAAGAAACCACAGAAGAGGATGGAAGCGGTGAGAATAGTCATAATGCACCAGGCTCTTGGAAACTGAGTAGATGGGGAAAAAAAGTATTCAAGGAAACCAAGAAATGTTTATTTAAGGTGTAGGAAATATAAGTAGGCCTAAAAAGGAGACCGTGAGAACCATGTGAGGAGTGTGTACAGATGATAACTGAGGTAGTGAGTGGTAAAGCTGGTGAGAGGAAGGTGGGAACTAATGGGGTCAAGGATGTAGACAGAAGTCTATAAGGCAGGCAAAAAAAAAAGAGTGCCATGAAGAGCAAATCTCTTCACTCTTTCTCCTATTCATGACATTGGAAACCCGCAGTAGATTATAAATTCATGTCAAGGATACTGAGGCATTCAGTAGTGCCCAGGGTAGCCTGATGAGTTCATGACGTGGAAAAAAGGGAGAAGAGGTTGAGAGACTGAGAGCAAAACTGAATGTTTCCTACTACACTGAGGGAAAGGAGGAGGATCAGGGAGGACTTAAAGAACCAAGGTCTAGAGGATGTCAATGCCCATTGTCATGCTTTGACATTTTTTACCACTGTTGGCGGTTGGTTTATTTTCTGCAGTGATTTGTACTGGGCATCTGGGCTTAGAATAATGACAATTTTCTTCCCAGTTGCACTGCTCCCATCCCTCCTGAGGTTGTCTAGCTGGGACGGGAGGGATAAGGAAGCTCAGAGTGGCATTTGAGGAAACCATCCCACCTTGGTAACAGAGCACCTACCCTCTCCTTACAGGGGTCACCACGGTACTTACAATGACTACCATCAACACCCATCTTCGGGAGACTCTTCCCAAGATCCCTTACGTCAAGGCTATTGATGTTTATCTCATGGGCTGCTTCGTCTTCGTGTTCCTGGCGCTCCTAGAGTATGCTTTTGTCAACTACATATTCTTTGGGCGAGGCCCCCGGCAGCAAAAGAAACAGAGTGAACGGATCAGCAAGGCCAACAATGAGCGTCACCGTTATGAGGAGAAGAGGGTGAGAGAGCAGGTTTGTCCCCTTCTTTCATTGTGGCAGGAGAATTCAGGCTCTCCACTGTTCATTCAGTCCTGGGTGAACAGTGGAGCAGTCTTTCTCCTCATCACAAGAGACAAACTCCAGTTCCCCTGTCTGGTGATTACTGGGAATTTTTTCTCCTTGATCATTTTGTCATCATCCTCAAGCCAGTTTCATCAGGACTCTTGCACAACACAGGTGTACCCAAAAGTACCCCTGTGGCTTTTGGTCCTACCATGTTGGCAGAATCATGCTACCCTGCTCAAAAATGTGCTGCAAGCACATGTGGCTAGTCCTTCAACTCCAGCATCAGTGGATAGCATTTTCAAATGCAGAAGTCCGGGTTCAGAGCTCACAAATGACCCAATCAGTGGTGTTGTTACAAAGAAAACAGTTGAAAATCACCCCTGAAGGTATGTCCCCATGTGTGTCGTGCACAGGACATCCCCGCTACCTTTCTCTCTGTCTTCCATGTTCTAGGTTGACCCTTATGGTAACATCCTCCTCAGCACTCTGGAGATGAACAACGAGCTGCTGGCCACGGACATGATGAGCAGTGTTGGCGACTCTCGAAACTCTGTCATGTCCTTTGAAGGCTCAGGAATCCAGTTCCGCAAGCAGCTGGCCTCTCGGGATGGATTTGGTCACCACCCAACCCTGGACCGCCATGTCCCACTGACCCACCACGCTGCGGCCCGCAACCGTGCCAACAGCCGTCTCCGCCGGCGGTCATCTAAGCTGAAGCTCAAAATCCCAGACCTGGCAGACGTCAGCACCATTGACAAGTGGTCACGAATCATTTTTCCAATCACCTTTGGATTCTTCAACCTTGTTTACTGGTTGTACTATGTAAATTGATGCCTGCAGCCTCCGAGAGAGATAGGGACAGACACTCAGACAATGACAACACAGGAGTGTTGTGGTCTTTTGGGTTTGGGTTTTACTCTTTACTATCATTATCATTTATTCCTTTGATTCATTAGATTTATTCTAAGCTTACTCTTCTCTTTTCAGCACATGTAGAACCACGGAGTGTGGGGAGGGGTAAGGGAGAGAAGGGTATATGGGAGGGGGTTTGGTTTCAGGGAGGGATGTGTTTGTCTCAATTTTGGTTTCCTGCTGAAGGACTTAAACCATTGTAAAAAAAACAAAAACAAAAACCACCAAAAACCAAAAAAGAAAGAAAAAAAAAGAAAAACTGTCAGAAAAAAAGAAAAAAAAAACCACAAAACCCCCCCCAAAAACCCAAGAAATGTTTAAAAAAATGGGGGGAGGGAGATTTAAAGAAATTGAGTCAAAAACTGGTGGGGGGATAGGTTATCTTTGGCTGTGCTCACTAATGCGCTATCCTCACTTCCATTTCACTACTGAATTCATCTTTCTCTTCTCAATATTACTTTTTTTTTTTTTTGATCTTTCTTCTGTCACTGCTCTTAACCCCGTCATGTTTACTCTTTCATGCATTCATGAGATGGTGAGGTTTCATTCTCATGCTATGAGACTTCTCTTTTCTTCTTCTCTCTCCCTCTCTCTTGCTTACAAGCCTAAAAGAATCTTTTAAACCAACAAATAAAAAGAATATTTATTTTGGAAGAGCTGGGAAGGGGGGGGAGGACAAGGTAATTATTCGGGAGGGAAGGGGCAATGTGGGGTTGGGGAGGGTGGGGGAGGAGGGAGCTTATCAAAAACAAAAGGCACATTTGCAAGTTGCCTTTTTCCACCTTCAGGAGTTTGCAAGCTGTTTTTCCTGTATGAGTGAGTGTGTGTGTGCGGCGCATCTCTGTGTGTGTGTGTGTGTGCGTGTGCGCACGTGTGTAGATACGGATGTGTGTGTGCAAGCATGTTTTCTGGGGAGGGGAGCTGGGGAGGGGGGGGGGTTTTGTAATGTCTTTTGTAGAAAGAGAACACAGATGACATTTAAGCGGCAGTGTTCTGGGGGAAACAGCAGGGTTTCGTTTGCTCATTGCAACTTCGCGAGGTTGGAGATGGGGGGTCCCAGCTTGGATTAGAGAGGCAGAGCTGGGGAGGGAGATTGTGCAGATACAATCTGAGGAAGGAGAGGGTTTTGGGGATCAGCAACGGGACAGTGCTGCTGTCCACCGCTGGCGTCTGATCTCTGGTAGACTAAGCTGATTCAGTCCTGAAAGGAGGGGCTGTTCCTAATCATTCCCACCCTGCATCTTTCTTACTGAGTTTGGGGAGAAAAAGCAGTTGCAGATCTCTGAAAACTCAGCCCTTCCCACCCCCCCCAACCCACCCCCTACATGTTCTTTGTGCCAGACGAGGGACTTCACGCTCCAGCCCACCGAGTGATCATAACCTATGGCAAGGTGCAGGAAAGGGTGAGTGTCATTTAACTTTGTTGTGCTTCAGGATGAAAAAAATCAGGAAACGATGATTATCCCTTTTCCTAAGAAGTTCAGAAGCAAATGGTGGGCTGGCACCCTCTGACCTGTACTGCTTCTATCAGGCCTTGCTTTATGTCTGTTAATACATGCAAAATGTAGAGAAGAGCAGCCTGTGTCCCTTCTTGCAGAAGATGCAACTGTGGATGCAGTAGAATTCCATGGAGCATCATCCCACTGGAAGATGTTCTTTAAAGACTGGGCAGGGTGAAGATTGCGATGAAAATGCTGAGCTTGTCAGTGCTTATGGAAGCCCCTAAGTCTGTAGCAGCTTCCATCCACAGGCACTCGTTATAAAGATACAGAAGGGTAACTTGGCCTTGGGCAGCAAGGTCAACTTTTTCCAAAGGAGCCAGTGACTTTCAGGAAAATCACTGAATTATTGGCCACTTTGGCAATCACTGATGATTTATTATCTCCCTTATAATATTAATAAAAGCCATGAAAATAATAAATTCACAAGTGCAAAACTTTAACCCTAGGGTCATTCTGCCATTCCTGGAGTAACGATGAGAACCTTGTTCTTACCTGATGGAGCTTTTTACATGCCAGACACACAGACACGCTGCCTTGAATTCAACTGTCCTTTTATTTTTCTGCTAGCACTCTCTTCCTTTTTCCTCGATTCCCATTGCTTGAGATCCTCTGAGACCAGGGAAACTCCTGTTTTTCAGATGACAGATGCATCTAATGCACATCTTTTCATTCACTAATTTATGTCTGTACAGTGCTATGAAGATGTGAATCACTGTAGGCCTGACCAAGTAACACTTAAGTCATGGAAAGTTTTGTCTTGACTTGGATGAAGCGGGGTCAGGACTCATAAGTAATAAGTATTGTTATTTTTATATCAGTAATGTGTCTTATGCATTTTCTACGAATAGAATCCTAAGCATAGAAGTAGAGCATCCATCCTCATCAGTCACCCCCAATCTCTGCCTCCCTCTCTCATGTTCGTGCATGCACGCATTCAGTCCAGGCTTCCCTGGACTCACCAAGGTTTTAGCACAATTGTTAAATCAGACTTAGATTCCCAGCTGCCCTGCAGAACAATCTCTTGCTGGTTTCCATATTCAAGAGTGATGCTGTTGAGGATGGGTTTTCCCAGTGTTATTCCAGTTTATCATCTAGAGGGATCTGTATAGGAATAAGAATCTGAAAAGTGAATGGAGCCGGATGATAGGGCTAGGGCTGGATGGGGTAGTCTTGTCTACCCAATACGCAGGAAGTTAAAGCTTGGCCAATGGAGAAAGTTACACTTTCTAGTAGGATTCTATTTGGAAATGGCTTTTAAATGTTTTAATGGAAGTCATAAAGTTGTGTTTTATGACATCAGCCGTATAATGTAGGTGCATATGTGCATCTCAGATGACTGCAGATCTCAGAGGCTTCCTATCAAGCAGGTTCAGTTTTTAAGGGGAGTCTAACCAGCTGATTGATGATTAAATAAAATCTCTAAACATTTACCCTTTATATATGTGATTGCAATGTAAAGGGTGGTCAGAATGATAGAAGGGGAAAAAAAGAGGCAGTTATAAGAAGCCTGTTAAAATTGGAGGGAGAACAAATGGCCATGTGGTAAGAAATTCTGAAGCTGTGGGAGTTGACTCAGGAACTCCAGTAATTTGCTAGTTGTAGTAAAAGCCTGACAAATGCGTGGTAGGAGTTAAGCACCTGAGAGCTCTTGTAGCTGGTCCCCAAGACCAGCAGGGGCAGCGGCACACAGATGATGCAAAACCCACCTATGTTCTTTGCTGCTTGGGTGCTGAACCCCACATGACATGGGGTCCTGACCAGCCCCATCCAGCTCCTTGCAGGTACAGCCCAAGACCTCCAGTAGCTGGAGATTAGGCATTGGGGGGGGGCTGTGTTTAATATTTGAGGCTTCAATCAGAGATTGAGCCCAGAATTTCATAGCGACAATCCAAAAGCTTTCCAGGGAAAAAGCCCTGCTCAGCCGATTTCTGCACCTGCTGGGACAGGGAGCCAGACTCCTTTGCTATTGCCTCGGTTCTCTGTTGGCTGGGTTCTCTTTCTTATCAGGAGTCATCCTAGTTTCTCTCTTTGAATGTTTCTGACCTGATATTACCAGGTCAGTTTTACTTCATAGAGTCACTCTTAGTATATCCAGACATCTGGACTGTTTGGTCCTACACAATAATCTTTGCCAAAGAGTGTGTGGTCAGAACTTATTCACAGTTCAGGAGCTGCCTTATAATTTCTGGTGATGGGGCAGAATGCTGGAGAAAACTGAGTGTCCTGTGAGTTGGATGAGTAATAGAAAATATGTTCCTGTACAAGACTGAGGCAAGAATACTGAATGCCTTTAGAAATGCCCTTCTCCAGAACCGAGGTGACACCTTCATTTCCCCCCTCCATATCTGTCTGTGTCCACCCCTAAGAAAGGCAACAAACCCATGTCTCGTTTTGAGGTCCAGTGGTCCAGAAAGGAGATAGTAGAGTAAAAAGAGGGATTTTATTCATACTCAAGGCTCAGAGGTTTCAAGCCATCACAACCCCAAGGAAAGGCATGAACCTCTCATGCAGTGGGTACAAAGCTCCTGTTATTTGAACCAGGTGAAGGAGATTTCTGTGCTGCAGCTTGTGTGCCCGCTGCTGCCCACCTTTTCTTCACAAAGGGAGAGCAGTGGGGAAAGAAGGAGGAAAGAGTGTGAGTGCTGTTCCAAAGTGGAGCTTCTTCTGACTTGGTGGTGCAGGAGGAAATTCCGACTGGGGCTTGGTTTGTTCGCAGCTTGGGGCAGGATTGCTGCTTGCTGGGTCATGGTTTTTAGCAGAGACTGTAACACAAGCATGAGGGATGCTCCAGGCTGCCTGAGGGAGCTGGGCTGGGGGAGAATGTTTTGCACCTTTTCCATGCATAACAGCCTAAGGCATGTGGAGGAGAGGAAGGAAGAGGAGAAATAGAAACGAAATCTCTCTCAGGATATACATGGCCAACGCAACTCTATTGCTACATTTTCTGATACTGTATAGTGCTGTCACTCAGGGACCTTTAGGAACTAGGACCTTGGGACTGTAATCCTGCCTGTCCCCCTTCTTTCCCCCCCCTTCACCTTGAGTATTAAGAACTGAAGAGAGAATGAGAGAAAGAGAAAAAGAGGAAAATAAGAGCCCTGGTAGCAAACCCCTGCTATTCCATGGATGAAAGTAAAGCTTTGGTTACTAAGGTAAAAGGAAAATGTATACCTTTATGTCCTCAAGCATAAACCAGCCCATAGTGTATATAGGATAAGTTCACAGTGCATGAAACAAACAGGACTGTAGGTCTTAACTGGCATCCAGCTTTCTTGCATGCACATCTGACACCACGCCAGCAGCTTATGTCTTGCAAATAAGTAGGGAACCTGCCAAGGCTTGGCACTTCCTCTGTCCAATGGACAGCACATCCACTTCCCAGAAACAGAGCCACGCGAGGAACTGATCTGGCCAGTCTGTTTGACCAGATCTGCTCCAGAGGCTCTGGCAGGAGGAGATAAGGGGTGGAGGAGGGAGTTGGTTTTGTTTCGTTTTGTTGTCGGGAGGACGAAGGGGTTTTAAATCTCTGAGCTGTTATCAGGCAGAAGAGAAACCTCTGGAGCTGCAGACCAAAGGACAGTGGCTTTAGGGAAGGTGGTTACTGAAATCCTAATGGAGAGAATGGGAAGAGGAAGAGGTTGGTGGTGGGTGAGAGCCGCAACTTCAGAAGCAGAGGAAATAGGAGAGAGGTGGTGAAAATATATGTGCAATACAATAGGTTTGAAGGGACTAGAGCACTGAAAACCGGGGACCTGCACTGAGTCAGACAGGCTGGGTGCAGCTGCAGGCAGCACTCAAGGAAACCCAGCCATTGCAGCAGTCCCCGGGGACAGAGACCGCATCCCCTGAGAGATGGTGAGGTCAGGAATGGGGAAAATCGAGGGAGACTCACGGTGCTCTACCATCAGTATGAGCTCAATCCCTTCAGGCAGGGACAATCATTTGCATCTGGACAATGTTGCAGGAGCTGGGCTGGGATGCGCAGGGGAGAAACCATCATGTCAAGCTGGGGCAATGGCCGAGCTCTACCCTGGTGTCAGAGATCAGAGCCAACTGGGCAAGAAATGCCATGCAGGTTACCAAATGCTTTCTTGGAGATGAGACTGGGCTTCCCAAGCAGGGTGGGATGTCTTTACAGTAGACATGGAAATTGG